ATTGTTGTTTGTTTTTACATACCTGCCATAGAACAGAGGTTTGGGTCTGAAATACAGCGAAGTTTAACATCGTTTAGTGGTAAAAAAATGCTGTGACTAACGCAATTACACTTTTACAAGGTTAATAAAGGTACACACTATTCATTATACTACCCAGATAACAAAAGTGTTCCATGTTATTTTCTAGCGAAGAGACAAAATGCACGCGCGTTTTCCCATAGGAATGCACAGGAGCACCGCAAAAGTAGACTGGTTGCTGTCTGCTTCAGTTTGCCTCCCGGAAGTCGCATAGACACTAGCGCCAGTTGAACCTCTAGCGTACATTATAATAACTCTATGGCTGTCACGCTCCAGACTTGTCCGCGAGATTTACAGTGGCGAGTAAAATGAAACGCGGCGGTGCGTCGGGAGAACTGTGTTCCAACGGAGGCATGAGGCATAGGATCTGAGAATTGCAAGCCGGGTGTGACGTCACATCCGGCATGGCAGGGCAACCATTGACACTTGCGAAGTTTGGTATGGTGTTTTTCGTATAATTATCCGTCACTGATAACACTAAATTGGGGTGCCGCTTAAGAGAATTAAAATGGCCTATGCTAAACATTAGACTGCGCCAGGTAACCATCACAAAATCTTTAAGAAACACGCACAAAAAAAATGTGTTTTTAACAGTCTGGTTGGGACACGCGTGTCAAAAAATAAATTCGACGCGAAAAAATTTTTTTTAAGGCAATATTGACGGCGCGAGACGCGACCTTTCTACTTGCTTTTACTCTCGGCATTTCGGGCGCGTAGAAGTGAATCGGCTTGGCCATCACGTTGAGCTGGAAAGAGTGTATGATCATTGCCCAACGTCATAGACTTTGCGCGGAGAATTTAACATAAATCTCGCGCCGTCAATACTGCTCTAAAAATTTTTTTTCGCGTAAAATTCATTTTTTGACACGCGTGTCACAACCATATTTTAAACTCTTTTTTTCTTTAGTGCTTCTTTAAGCATTTCCGGTTTTAACCGGACAATCCCTTTAACCAGCTCGCCTGCCTACTTGCTTTAACTTCAAAGATACTGACCATAGAATCGGACCATAGAATGGACCAATCACTGGGATTCTCGGAGTGAAAACGGCGAGGCCCCTAGGACGGCCAGCGCAGGTTACGTTCCTTGTGACTCGGTCCTTTGTGCCATCCGCTGGCTCCGCTCCGCAGGCACCTGGCATACTCCTTTTCACATTAAGTTGGACTAGCCCCAGAAGTGTATCCTCACGGCGCGCGTTTCCCACCAGCGGCCAAACCTCGCATGCAGAGTAAAGGATCGTGGAGGCCTTCACCGTGTGTTTAGCCGCGGATAAGACGACGATGGGTGCTAGTTGACTTGACCGCGTCGCATTGTCAGCCGTCGATTTTTCTGCGTGGCCTCCGAGGCAAGTCCGAGGACCAGCGTGGGATGGACAAGGGTTCCGCGTCGGCCTTTGGCTCGCGTTCGGACGGACTGCTGAACGCGCCTTCGCTCTCAGAAAAGAAAGGTATATTATTACACAACTTGTCCCATGTAAAACTTCCCAAAACTTCAGGTTGACCTACAACGCGTAGAAGTCGAACCGATGGACCCAACGTTCACGAGCGGCTCGATAGAGGAGCGGAACAACTCATTAAAATAGCTAATGTACGTGTTACTGACTACTAAAAAAAATAACTAGGTTTTTTTTTTTACCATACTGCAAAGCCTCAGTGTTTTTTTTTTTTTTTGTTTTTTTCTTGTAGTTTTTGATACGCACTTTAGCTGCTTGATAAGTTATGTCACACCGCTGTCAAGCCTCTCGTAAAAGTTGGGGCCGTCTGTTCGAGGCCAGTGCGCTGTACACCCACCGGCAATATGAAGGTCAACACTTTACTTGGTTTCTCGTTAAGCTATATTAACTGTCAGCGTCTCAAATGGTACCTGGTTGGGGGTTTAAACTTTGCGTTCTAGCCCTCTTCTGGAACAGAGCTTGTTCCAATACTTGCAGAAGCTTCAAAAACATGAAGAGCGCTGTTCACCTTCATATTGCTCACGGGTGTACGTCGAACTGATGTTTTGGGGCGCATTACGCGAAACAAAAAGATGCAAAACGACACTTTTTTTTTTTTCGGTATTTCCCTGCTTGGGGGGTGTGCGCCACAACGCAGGCCTTCACTACGTCGCGCATTAATACGGCTTTCCACCTCGCTGGTCTCAGGCGAGAGCCCTTGTCGCTTGGTGACGCCGGTTGGACAGCTTTGAAAAAAATTACCCCCATGTTGAAAACAGGAAAGGCACTTCCGAGAGTGCCTCGGTTGGCAAGAGTGTTCATTGGTGGCGCCACCGACTCAGACCTCGTTGCTTTCCGCTCCAGAGCCGCCTTAGCAACTAACGCTAAGAGGACCGCCCTTCTAAGCGGTGTGGCATATCGTACGAAAAAACTAAATAAATGAATAAAAGTCTGACCGCTCGATTAAGGTGCTTGTGACGTCACCCCCCGTCTTTGCTTCGAAGGCGACAGCGTTCGAGGGAGTTGCCTCCGAATTTAGACGAAGGCGATATAAAGGCGCTGCGTCTCTGTTGTCTCTAGCTCCCGGTGCCTGCAATCTTACGAGGCGCCATTAAATATAGCGATCTCTAACGAGCTCTTAACGACGAGACCGACTTCCGTAGTGCGGCATCTTGCTCAGCGCTCATTGAGCCTACGGAAAGACGTCATCGATACGCTGGAAATAGCGGTTCGGTTCGACTCGTTTGCACGTGACACCACAACAGACGAGCAGTGATTCATCCAAGGACGTGAGCCACTGGGGAACGACGAATGGCCAAAGGTTGCTGCGACCGTGGATGTGCATCACACTGAGGAGGTTCTGGGGCTCGACAAAAACAGACAGTTAGCCGCTAGGCTGCTTTGGGATAACTTGACCGAGATCGAGTGGGTGGCTTTAGCCGTTTGCCAAGTATTGGCGGCGAGATGTCTTGGTGGTGTCCTCCTATGGTTCCCCCTTTTGACGTCATTGCCTTGCGAACAACAAGTTCGGTGGTGTTTGTAGGGAGCATGTTGGAAGCTTGGAATCACTGCGCTCTGAAACCTACACTGCCAACAGCGTCAAAATCGAAGTTCTTATGTCACTCTTATTTCCGTCGATGAGAAATCCTTTGCTGACGTCACAGTCAGCATCCGGCCAATCGTGGCAGGACAATTACTGCGACACTTTCGATCGCTCACTTCGCCAATGCTGAGGGCAAGGTCGCCTGCTTCTTTTGCTGGGGTTGTGGTGACGTCAGAACGCCGAGCTGTGATTGGCTCTGATTGGAGGAAAGTAGGTAGACCTAAAGGGCCTTGGCGTCTACCTACCATCCTTCATTCAGAGCCAATCAGTCAATCAGAGCCTTCGAGTCAGTGGAGCGGACTGCTATCTATTAATCACGCGTGCCAGTGTTGGCGATGTACGCGACCATAAGCGTCGCTGTGATCGGCCTTCCACGATTGGCCCTCACTATGACGTCTTGAGTAGGGTTATTTCTGCTCTCAGCGACGGAAATAAGACAAACGTCGGTCCCTCAACCGTGACGGTGTTGATCTAGGAACGCGTGAGGCTTCCACCGCCCTTTTTAACCACCATCGAACTTCTCGCTTGCTACTAATAATCATGTTCGTGACGTCAGAGATTGGAATCATAAGAGGGCGCCACCAAAACATCTCGTCGATGCGAAATCAACACAAACCACGTCAGAACAAGAACGTATGGAACGCACTTCGGATTGGTGTTGAATTCAGCTGCGCATTTAAGGACGAACGTTCTTAAATCTATCGGAGGGAAGATCGGCGCAGAGGAGACCGGCGCAGATCTGATTCAAGGGGTAAAACACTGGGTCCCGACAATTCTATTTTAATTCTCGAGCGTGACTAGGCAAGGTAAAATGTCGAAGCAGACTATAGAAAGAACAGAAGTTAGCTCAGTGCACTTGCCTAAGTTTGGTATAGGAATGAACAACCAGAACGGTGCAAACCGGAGGACAGTATTCTTTTGCAGCTCTGTGAAGGGGTGCAGTTCATGGGAAATGAAACGCGAACTGCGCATTTAACATAGCATCCGCCCTTCGAAAACTGAGCGGCGTTCACTGCCCATTTCTAGTAAAAACAGATGTGGGACGCCGTGTATTCTCGATTAGTACCCGTTTTCCGACGCCACCGACGCGCGGGGCTCTGTCCTCAAACACACCATTTCTGCAAAGGTAACGTAACGCTGGTAATAAACATTCATTACGCTTTCAACCGGTCACAAAGACGAGCCTCCTAGCCACCTAGCCTAATATTTCATCATCCCTTCTCTTTTTTTTTTTTTTTTTAATTTGTATCGATGCACGGCGCAAAGGCGTCGGCGGAGTATATATCTGCTATTGTTTTCCAAACGATCGACTGAAACTACCTACTTTCTGCTTGCCGCCATCTTTCCCTCTTGGGCTGGAAGGCATTCTCAGCGAGCGCTGTCGGTCTCTTCGGAGGAACACCAGCCGATGCATGATCCGCCTTTCTTGCCCGAGTGATAATTGCTCGAAAGGTGTAAAGACCCATCCACCGGAGGACCGCGTCCGACTACGCAACGTCCGTTACTCACTTGGTACGCCGCGTTTCTGCGCTTTCCTGTTTCCGCGGAGGGCTTTGGGTTGTCCGCGAATCGAGCAGAGCGCCGAGTGTCGTGACTTTACGAGGAGCTATAGGTCGCGAATGTTCCAGACTCTTGACGACGCCATTAATGCTCCACCCTGGACGCTTGGAGCAAACCTTCACAGGGAATTCGGCGGTCGTGATTGGCTGGTGCCGCGCTGAACCAATTCGTGCCGGCCAATCACGGTTGTCGAATTCCTCGTCGACCATTTTGCCGAGTGTTCAGATTCTAGAGTCCCTGATGGGCCGTCGTGGTTGTATTCGGAGCCTCGCGTTCATCCGCGCTGAAGCTTGAGCGGTCGACCGATGCTACCTTCTGGTTTTCCTCAGGGACCAGGCGGGCAGTGAGCAGCACTCGCCGGAGACAGTGCCTCTGCAGAGCTTCGCTTCCAGCGCCTCCCACCATGTCCCAGGTGACCGGCTTGCACGTCTACGACGCGTCCTGCCTTTGGCCTTGAAGCACCAGTGTGTGGGACGCGGTTTAGGTATACGTATGCAGTGTGTGAAAAATGAAATCGTTGCATTATCATTACTATTACACGGATGGGATCGGTCTAAGTCGTTTTGGAGCACCGCTTGGAGCAGCCAAAAGTCCATTTTGGAGCCTGAGCGCGCACTTCCCCCCATTTCCATTCATAAAACTGCAAATTTAAGATTCATAGCTAGACCTGTTTAACAAGGAAGCGTCTGCTTTGCCTTTTCAATTATGTGTAACTTTCTGTTATAATCGATTGCACGGCAGGATCGATTCCCTAAAACATTTTCTTGAACCGCCTGAGACTGAGTGGAGTATGGAGAAGAACCAAAAGTGGAAAGGACAGAAACAGAAAGACAGAAGGCGTAGTCTCAACAGTCTCAGGTGGTTCAAGAAAATGGTAAATCTACACCAGCTCGCCTGCACCATCACAGCCTTAACGTTAAATTATAGCTGTTTAATTGCACGCAGAAGCACCAGACATGGTGGCAAGAAGATGACTGACGAAGGAGACCACGAACTGCGGTGAATGGCTATTTTAGGTACAGAATCCCAGTGAAATGATGTTAGTCTACAATAATTTTGAGTACCTAAATTTGTTTCCTTCAAGTGTGATACGTTATATTAAAACTGCAATTTTTATTTCAGAAAAAAAAAAACGCGTGTGATTTGATTATAAACCGTCAATTGCATTATATATATAGAACTTCATAACGAAAATTGGCTTGTGAACGATTTATACTTCTTATAAACGACCCCACTGAACTCGTTAAAGCTCTTCTCAAGCTTGCATCCACTACTTCTACTTTAGTTATAATTTAGTTATAATTTACTCGCACCTATATAAAAGGGACATCTAAACAAAAAAAAAAGTTGGCATAAAAAGTAAACTAAGAGGAGTCCATATAAATATTTTCGCGATACAGATGTATCCTTGCTAAATCTAGAATTGCAAAAAGATACCGCCAGTATATCGCAGTTAGTCTATCACATATAGAAGCCGAAGTTTTATTAACAATTGTCACCGTCACGTCTCGCGTTGGAGGAATGTTTTCCCCTTAGCACGTGGGTGCGCTACGGCAAAGCAAGACACGCAAGATCGTGATGCCTACTTTATGGTTGTCGCTTCCCTGCTGTACACCAGTGGGCGGCGAGGAGCGCACTCAACGAAACTACCTATAATCCTCCAGAACCGAACACGAACATGAGAAGTATATTGCGGCACTTCCGAGCGCTCTCAAAGTTTCATGGGAAATCATATAAAATAATACGTTATTTGACATGATAATCTAAAGTTCGGACAACTCGCACAATCCTATCATAAGAATCCGGCCAAGTTGCGAGTGACTAAGTTGAAATTAGTTTTCGCGCAATGTTGGCGCGAATTCCTCTGATTTTGGTAAAATGGAGCAAGACGGTGGGCAGGCACTTTGGCGCAGTTTGGCACAAATGCTGCAGCGATCCATTACTGTATTAGTGTTGCTATCGGCCGTGCCCAGTTGGATATTCAAGAAAAGAATTCTCCCGAAGATTAGTTATAATTTCCACGATGTTTTAGGATAGGGCAGCGTCTTAAATTGACCCTCGTCAAGAAAATACTCTCTCCAGAAGAACACATCATTTCGCTCTACATATGGGCTTTGCTATTTCACCAACTAAATTCACGTGTTTTGACACCCATACTCGGTCTTTTTTTATATATATAAAAAAAAGCCCAAATACATTAGCCGGGAGCTATCTCCTCCTACGAGTAGCGACATTCTTTGAAGCGCCGACGGCGTGACGGTGCAGGCTTAAGGAAGCGAATGACGGCGCACAGCAGAGGTTTGAAATGAATGCCGCCATTTTGTTTCTAACTGCTGTTCCGGACGGAGATGTAAAGCAGGATAAGGAGATTCAGATAACAATAAAAGAACGCACGCACACACCCAGGACAGGACGGGTGCGCGAGCGGCAGTTGACGTGAACGGTGCCATGTGTGGCGTTCATTACTGTCCCTGAACTCACATTCTGCGCGGATGACACTCGGAGATCGAAAGATCAAGGAGGCGGAATGTCAGAGCATACCACGGGTAACAGGGTAAGCAGCCACCTACGCAACACGGAATTTGACCAAGCAATGGCAAGTGGCTGGCGATGGTCTTTTGGCCAGTGGCCAACGAGTGGCCGTTCATTGGTCAATGCTTGGCCGATGGCTGATGGCCAGTGGCCATTGGCCAATGGCCAGAGAAAGGTCAGTCATCGGCCAGTCTCTATCATCGACCAATCTCTGGCCACTCTCTGGCCACTGGCCAGAGGACCATGGCCAGCCATTAATTGGCCAATGATTGGCCAACTCTGCGCTATAAATAGCGGACGCTAAAAATGTTCCAGGGGACGAGAAAAAAAATTATCCCGGGTGTTCATGCTACCCCCAAAACTATGACGTTCCCTCGACAGCCTTAAAAAAATTACGAGAGACAAAAAAAAAAAAAAAAAGAAAGCGATCCCGGGTGTTCATGCTACGCCCAAAACTATGACGTTCCCACGACAGCCTTGGGAAGTATGCGCTAAATTACTTGAGAAAACTTTTCCCAAAATTTACGCCCACGTTTTCGGGTGAGGAGATCTAAAGCGTCCAAAAAAAATCGCCTTTCGAGTAGTCGGGGGTCTTTATCGGAAACTCTGACGCTCGAGTCTTGACAATAACCATGACTGCTTAAAAAAAGAAAGAAAAAAGCTTTTGCTTGAGAAGCACGTTAAACTGTTTTTGCAACAACAGCAAAACGAACGGAACCTATAGCTGGAAAACACTCAACAGGCCGAAATATTTCCCTTCGAGATTTTTGCGTGGCTCTTGAGGCTTCCGTGTTTACATATTATTGGCGGTTGGAGATGCGGACACCGAAGCAGAGGGAAGGAAACTGCGTTGGTTGTGCCCGCGTCATCAAAGAAAGAAAGCAACGAACGGAGCGCAGGTAAAACTGTGATTTATAAGGGCCTAACAAATTTTGTGCCTCAAATTTATTCTCATACTGTGTAGGGTGAACAGTTGTAATAAGTGACTCCGTCGGTACAGACGCTTTACACACGCGCCAGAATACAGCCGCCATTGCTGACCTTCTCTCTTTTTACCGAGATACCGAGCCACTGAAATTGGTGTGAAAGAGCTTCCACAAAGGCCAATGCTGAACAGAAAGGCAGGATAAAATCTAGGATGGCAGTGACCTAGCCTGCTATGGTAATAATGAAGTGAAGTAAACGTAATAAGTGGAAACAAAAACTGAAGGTCAGTTATGGCGGCGCCCATGCACAACTGCTGCAAAGCGTCTATACTCTCCTATCGGCGTGTTGCCTAGGTCACTCTGAAAGTAACCTAGCTACGCAACCGCGTAAACCAGACAGTGTGCGCTTAACAACGTTCACGGGACGCCATATAGGAAAACTGCACATAGTTTTTCCCACGTTTTTTTTTCCATTGCTTCCCCGAAGAAGGCTAACCTTCTGGAAGCTCGCTTACGCCAGCACGCAGTCGCAGGTTCTAAATGTAGCGGACAAAAAGCAGGGCGAACCATTTTGAAGCCAATCTTCGCCTGCTGAAACCCGAGCATTGTGCGTTGAGCCTATGGCTGAGCTGGTACATGGCCGTCTTATTTGTCGAGAGTGGCGTATTAGTCGTTGAAATCGCGTTCTCACAATGTCTTTACTTCTGCCAGCAACGCCTTTGGAGGCACCGGCGGTGCCCGCACCGAATACCAGCAGTGGCAAGATGCAGCAGCAGCAGCCGCAGCCTAGCTCCAGGTAAGCGTCATTGCAAACTGTTTTTTTTTTCATTGGGACCAATACGCGACGCTATCAACTGTTGTTATATCTTAAAAAAAACAAAAAAAAAACACGCCCTTTACTTTAACCAAGTTTTAAGACTCGGGAGACGTCAGCCTTCGGGTTATGGTTGGTGAGGGACAGGATGATATTCTGGTCCTCTTGCTCACCTGATTGAATAGGTCAAGAAAATTACAGCGCGCCGACAGCGTGTGTGACGTTGCATCAATCCCATACTCGTGTGCCAGTCATGGTCCGTGCTCTATTGGTACACGGGTACGGATGTCGTGGTTTATTCCTAAAACTACAGATGCAGTCCTTAAAAAGGCGCACGTGCGAAATCCCACATGCAGATCGCTGCTGCGCCATCGCTGTTACCTCTGAAGCCTTATCCCAATATTAGAGCTCTTCTTTTACAGGCAAAAGTCTACGTCCAGTATCGACATGCAAGTTCACGCATTAACCACTGTAAAAAAAAGCACTTGTATTGTGTGTGGTCGCGGGTTTGTGACACACTGAACCGTCGGAGTGGACACTTTTTGCTGTGTTCCGGTCCCTACCCATGACATCACGACTAGGATTATCAGTTGCGTACGACAAGTTCGATGGGGTATATAAAAAGCTCAGTGACCATCACCGTCAAAGTTGGCAGTCTGACGTTACCCTTATTCCCGTCGATGAAAGCAAAATTAACCCCACCAAAGGCGTCATTGTTGGCGTCTGAACAATCGTGGAAGACAGCGATGCTTTTGGTGGCGCACCTCGCAACTAGTGTGCTGCAACATGATATCTGCTACATAATGAGTAGAAAGCTCCGCTTTCAGCGCGAGCTTTCTCTCTTCGATAAGACATCAGCGCACGCGCTTCCAATGCGCGTGCAGCAAAAGGCCAGGAACGCGTGCTGGAGACATAGCATGTCCTGCAAATCTTACGTTGCAATTCGCGACTGATGCCCATTAAATGAACACACATACTGGCTCTGTCCAAGAGCCACGTGCTCTCCCACTTACCCCACTCCTCTGAACTTCCCTGCCCACCTCCCCTACTCCTGGGTAAACTGGGCCGCTCCTCCCCCTGACCTACAAAACGAGCTCTGGCCTCTCCTACTTCTTCATGTGCGGGAGATCCTAGACCCTCCGCAACGAAGAACCCTAACCCAAGTTGTAGTAGACGATTCCTCCTCCAGTACGGACGATTAAGACGGCTCGGACCTGAGCTTTTGAATAAAGTTTTCCTCCCCCTCCTTGAACTAAACAAACGGCACGTATTGTTCTACATCGAACATGCTCAGTAGGGGTCTCGCGCTAAATTATTATTATGCAACGAGATTGTTTGTGGTGAAAAAACGAAGCTGTTTAATGAGGGCCTGAAAGGGAGGGCTTGGAGTCGCGGATAGACTACAGCGGGTTATTCACAGACGGTAATTCACTGTGGACCCGTTGAACGCACTACCTGCCTTACCCGACCGTGATCCCTGACGAACGTATCCTCGGTTTGCAGCGAGTCCGCCTCTAAACGGCAGCCCGATGCCCAGCCGGTGCCCGAGCCGGCGGTGAGCAGCGGTGCGGTGCCCAAGCGTGTTCCGGCTGGACAGCGAAGTCGGGCGCGTCGCTCGTGCACGGGTCGCATCCAGCGCCAGGCGTCCGTGTGCCTCCCCTGGGACGAGGAACCTCAGTGCAGCCACTGGACCACGTGCCCCCAGCCGCGCCGGCTCTCCATTCCCGCGCGGCTGGTGCCCCGAGACCTGTCCGGTGAAGGCTGGTGCGAAGTGCCTAGCCCACTTAGGGAGTCTGCCAGCACAGAGGCTCCAGGAATCCTGGAGCAGGGCCTGGATCGGATGGCCCGTCTTCTCAAGTCGCGGTCCCTGGAAGAAGAGGGCACACCGGCGGTCCTCTACAACGATATTGGCAGCAAGGAAAACGTGCACCACGAAGAAGACTCCCTTTCTTCCCCCGGGCTCTCTCCAGAAAGCGACGACGATGACAACAGCGAGGACCCAGAGACGGTCCGGATGCAGTACCGTCAGCTCTGGGAGCTTAGGGCTACCTTCGAGGAAGAAGAGACGACCGACTGCGTCGAAGACCTGTCCTCCGGGTCTCACGGCGTGGCCTCCCGCCTCTGCAATGACGAGGAAGAGGACGACAGACCTCCCTGTGGGTTCAGTACGTCTCAGGAGTCTGAGGCAACCGACGACCCGGCTCGCGCGCTCAACCTTTCCAGCGACGCCCGCAGGCAAAACTACAAGGTCCTCCTTGCCCGGAGACTGCACCGCAAGACGGAGAGCTCGGCTGACAACAGCTTTGACAGCATGGAGACGGACTGCTCGTCGACGGACGCCAGCCGCACCGAGGGTGGCATGACCACGTCCTCGTTCGACTCGACCACGGACAACACTGATGGCGACGGTCAGATGGGGCATCAGTCGCGGTTACAGCAGATGAAGGCCGACAGCGGTTACCGCTCCATGGAGAGCACCAACGGGAACAAGCTGTCCAGGAAGAACGTGCTGGCCGGCCAGGAAGGCGGCTCATCCAGGCGGAGCAGCGCCCTCCGGAAGCGGCGTCAACTCGAGGGCGCCCAAGGGCAGGCGTCTTCGGACGACGGCGCCTCCGCGTCCGCGGCGGCTGGTGCCCCCACCGACGAGCCCTCGTCGGAGCAGCCGGAGTCGAGCTATTACGACGTGCACGGAAAGATGTCCGTGTTCCACCGCTTCTTCCGCTCGAGTCGCCGCAGCAGCCGGTCATCCAGCTCCAAGCGGATCCTGCTGAGGGACTACAGCATCGACTATCGGTCGGATCAGCTCTTCAGGAAATTCTCCAGTCAGGATCCAGTCGAAGACACCGCTCAGGACACTTCCTTGGCAGCCAGTCCTCGGTTAAGCTCTACTCGGCTGCTGTCTCCGCAACTGAGCATCGAAGAGGAAGAAGGTTCCGACGCTTCAGCCATGGATGACGACTGGAAGGCGCCCTGTTGCGAAGCACCCGTCGCAGCGTTGCCAACCGACTAAGTGCGGCAAAATGACACACGCGTTTTTTCGAACTTGCTCTTTCTAACGCCCTGTTTGTTCGTTGGTTCGTTTATGGCGTGTGTATTGTTTCCATGAAGTGTGACTCGTGGTCGCGGTGGAAAATGACATTTCGTACAGCGGCCGTTCTGAGAATGCCGGGCAATACGGTGGCTCGGTGTCATTTAGTGCTTTGATCTCTCTTGGACGACTTTCCGAATGGGCCGGTTCAGAGCTTTTGGTTTCGAACAAGCCGTATGTCGTGCTTAGCAGCAAACCTGGAAGGGAAATCTGAGGGTGCGTGTCACTTGAAGGTATCCTCATGACCTCAGTCCGCGTACTTCTGAATGCTACTACTCCTGTTTGCTTGGGGCTTCCTTAAAAATTAGGGGGAAAGGGTGTTTGCAGTTTTCATGAGATTAGCTTATCAAAACAAAGAAGTGCCACAAGGTAAAATGTGTCGTATTAGTGTGTTTATTATAAGCGAAACCAGTCTGCCTGTTATATCGCATCTTATGTCACCACTGTAAAGTAGCAATTTCACCTCTTCAGTACGACGACTAGAGGTGTATTCACTGGACGCCATATTTGGGTGCACTGTTCAACGCGCATGCTCAGAACAGGTTAACATTTACAGGCTGCTAAGATAGGCAGTCTTGATGGTGTGGAGTACGTGTCGCAAAACAACTGTAGAGGCTCGCCGTGAGCACAAGCTCAGCTGCTGCGGACTCGGCCATTCGCGGCGAGAAGTTTGAGGATCGCCGCCAGGTGGAATTTTTTCACAACCCAGAGTGAGGATACTTCCATTTCCTCTGCTGCTATAAACAGGTGCAACGCGAATCTTTTTTGCACTATGAAAATTAAAACATCACTGCGTGAGCAGCACGTCCGCTACCCATAGTGAGGAAAACAGCAGCGCCCATCGCGAGCTTCTCACCGCGAATGGCCCCAGTGAATACTCCCTTTACATCTGAAAGTGTAACGTGCATCACGTTACGCTTTCAGACCATACCAACCATACCATACCACTCCATACCATACCACACCATACCATACCATACCATACCATACCATACCGTACCATACCATACCGTACTGTACCATACTATACCACACCATACCATGCGTTACCGTAGCGTATCGTACAATATACCATACCATACCGCACGTGGAGTTGCCAAGTCACCTGTTTGTTTCACCGCACTCACTTTCTCCTCGTTGACGACCTTGTTGTTTCCCTGAGGAAAAAAAAAACAAAAAACGCTCGCCGCCGGCCTGCGCCTACAACCAAACAGAATGGTGAATCATATTATAAAGTGGATGAGCACGGCGGAAACACCTACCAAATACTCACACCGATAAACCTCACTCCGCAGTCCGAATTAGGCTGGAATGGGCACCAGCCATCTGGACCGGCCCATGAGGAAAGCCGCCCATTTCGTTGTCTTTCTGGAGCGAACCAGGAGCGCCCGATGCTCGCCTGTTTAGCTTAGCGTGCCAGGTTAGGCTCGCGCTGGCACGCGATCTAAAATAGCCACAGAGGAGCTCTCGGAACGTTCCAGAAAGTCCGAGAGAAGGAAGACGACCATTGTTTGACGGGGACGTTTCTCGGGGCCTTTTTGTACAATGAACGTGTTACACTGTGCGTCTCCTACTGTCTCGTGTCGTTCCTCCGTCAATGACGGCTCGTGGTGATGGCAGCGGCCGCCAAGAAGCTCGCAGCACTCGCAAGGTAGGCTTCTCCTGCTCAGTCTACAATTGTTCGACGTGATTCACTCAAAACTTTAAGGAACGCACTGCGTGGCTTATCTTGTTTGGGGGTTTGTCTTTCGGCCTTCTTATCCCCTAGTGAAAAAAGTCATTTGTATGAGAAATTTCTTGTGTCCAATGAAGACATATGAATCATACATGATATATAAGAACATATAAGAACCATATAAGAACTATATCAGAACTATATAATATATATAAGAAACCCATAAGAAACTTCTTACAAGTTTCTTATATGGTGCTTGAATGTTCTGATATATATCTTATATAGTTCTTATATGGTTCTTATATGTTCTTATATATCATGTATGATTCATATGTCTTCATTGGACACAAGAAATTTCTCATACAAATGAGAATTTTCAATAGGGTCGGCTAAGGCGGCAATCACCCATCCACCCGATGCTGGAGGAAATAGACGGCTTGACGAGCGGCCTTGATCAGAGCCCTATGTTTGGCCCATGAGTAGAGCCTGTCGCACGCTAAAACAAGCGGACTTTACGATAGCACAAAAGGGAGGATTTTGCTTTTGGCCACTCTACTTACGTGCGCGAATAGTCGTTGTTTTATAAACAGAATTTCTCGTACTCTGACATTTTGTTATGCCTGCAATTAGTCTCTACATTCAAGCCTTGGCCATCCTTTATTGCTCTCCTGAAACATAACTTACAAATAAGCTTAATTGCTTTTGGTTTTAAACCCCCCCCCCCCCCCAAAAAAAAAAAAAATTAGGCTTTCTCAAACAAAAATTAACCTGGCGATTGAGCGGAAGGGTTCGCAGCGCCTCTCCTAGATGGCGCCTGTCACGACACTGAATTTTTGCGGTGGTCATTTTTGAAACCTAATATTCAAAGTATTTGAATTTCACTTTTCACAAAAGAGCAATAAGTTTAAGCTCTTATATTTTAAGAGGTCGTAGCAGATAAGTAAGTTCGAGCTTCTGACTGCATGTGCAGCACCAAAAGCACTTACATTAACGATAAACACTTATTACAATAGTGGGCCACAGCATATTTTGCGCGCCTAACCCGCAGTGGGTTCGAAAATCGATAATACAAAATGGCGGAGACAAGGCACGGTGTGCGCTTCTTAACCGTATTGTACTCGAGAGAGCCGAGGCGTCGCAGGAAGTCACCCAAAAGTTTTAATGGCGATGAGATCGATTAGGTCCAAGCGTCTTCTTCAAGCAGAACCGACGCGCTCTGACTCGACCGCCGTAATGTGCCAGACGCGTTGGTTTTAAGGGCGATTCACACGCTTACGTTGAGTTCGACCGGGTGTGAGGGTTGCCATGGCAACAGATGTGTCGTCTTGCTTGAAACAACCAAATTACGAGCCGCGCAGTGTAAAACTAGCATGGAAGAGGCAGCACTCGATCCGGGTAAACCTCTAATGTTAACTCATAAGGCACCGGGCGTGAGAACGGTATACCTCTCGGAGGATATACGACGCGGAAAACTCGAACAACTCAGCGATGGAAGCCGCACGCTGCACTTTCACTTCTGCTTGAGCATTGCTCTTGATCGCTCTAAATATAAATTTTTCATCTGTTCTAAACGTAAATGTCGCTCAAGCAAAAAAGAAAAAAAAAAAACAAAAAAACTACGTGCTAATAATTTTTTTTGTTGGTTTTAACGATATGTAAACGCCGATTTCAAGAAAGTCATTCGAAGTCATTTCCAACCCAACTCGTGTTATTTCGGTGCTGTTATTTTCTTACGCACCCTCAAAATCTCGAAGCCAAGGAGTGCTTCAACCCAGTTTCTGCAACAAGTTCCAGACGCACGTCTATAACAAGGACTATCCTCGAACGCAGCCTTCCCGATGCGGTCGTGTTTCTCCTGGTCCAAGCGGGCCTGGTCTGTCAATGGGCCTACGATTACGAGCACTACGCGAGAGGCAACCTCACAGTCGCAGACATGTACTCCCTGGTGGCCGTCCAGCAACTCTGCATGCTCCTGGGGCCTTGGTTATCCGCCCTCGTCCAGCCGCTGCGCCTTGTCAAGCCTCTGGTCATTGTGGCACTCGTGTCCGCAGAAATGTCGTGCCTCGCCAAGATCTGGGGCTACTATGGGACGGCGTCCGTCGTGCAGGGGCTCTTCTTGTCCGCTCTGGTAGCTTGCCTCAACCCGGCCGCGCAGCCAGCCGCCCTGGACCTCTGGCAGGTAACCTGATGCACACCTGACGGCCTCGGCAGGCTCAAGCAAAGGTGTACCGCCTTTTTTTAAATTCATTTTATGTATAAGGTCAGCTCTTGGCGATTTCGTGTCTGTGTTGAGGTGTGGCCTGGGTGACATCACGGTGGTATTCTGGTGTCAAGTGAGCTTGTCACATCATGGCGTCACCTGTCGAGCCAGAGAAGCAGCGGCAAGGCGAGGGAACGAGACAGGCAGCCTTTTATTTGTGAGAATTGGTAGGTTCTGGATACCTGCAACGATGCGAAGTTTGCCGACAAAGAAGGGCTTGGCGGTGTCGCTGAGATTGCTGCTGATTAGTCGGCCACACAGCGCCTACGACGAGCTCTTTCTTTACTACAAACTTTCCCGCTCGGCGCTCCCTCCTTTTGCCACGCAGTGTTGGAACTAACGTGTTACAAGTAACGGCATTACTGGTAAGTTGGAACGCGTCAGTTATTTTTTTTTTACTAACGTACTCGTTAGAATCCCACATGACTAACCAGTAAAGTAATGACGTTATTATTTTACGGTATCTGCTATCAGCTTACGTTACCCGCTACTCGTTACTTGTAATTAAAAATGGCCGCATGATTTTTTTGAAAACATACCAATTTTCATTTTGCACACTACCTAAAAGTTGAAAAGAAACCCCAAACGGAGCTATGTATAAGCGGCGTCATTTCAAACTCCTTCGGAAGACACTTTTAACGTTCCCACGACTGGCCCCAAAGGGCGCGAGATTATCGCTGCGCGGAATGCGTCCTTGGTAAGATCATCACCGGCGTACTCCGAGCAGCCGTCTTGCTGGAAAGAGACATCTGTTCAGAAGGCAGGAGTCTGTCGCCGCTCGAAGGGTTTTGCCTCATCGTCCCTAGCCTACTCCAGCTGGTCTCAAACTTCTCTTCGAAACAAATCAGTTCTCGTTCTGTCTACAACAGAAAGGATATACTATAAGTTTGGAAGCGTTGGCGTTCCCACGCTTTGAACCGAAACAAGTGTGTCAGTGATGGCCTGGTGCTGACGTGTCGTTAATTGGAAATGCGACGTTGATTCGTGAAGGAATAAAATAACGTCTTTTTTTTACTACATTAACTTTGATTACATAAAAAAGGTATATTTTGCGTCCGTTACGTGGCGTGCATCCGCTGGTTCCTTTCAGAGCGGTTTCTTCTTCCCAGGCAGGTGCTATGGGCAGGGTTCAATTCTCCGAATCGTGCCCGCCAAGCGTCACGTGTTCGAGGATATACATTACACATCCTGCCGAGGCCAGACAAACAAGCTGGCCCAGCTAAAAGTGGAAAGATCACCGCAGCATTGAACGGCGATCGTCACCAGAAAGACGTCACCATCTTTTACAATCCCTGCCTGCTTGTGCTCTTTGTGTGAGATTCCAACGTATAAATGTGATCTCTACATCACTTTTCTGCTCTAATGCTCCGGCGCTGCTGAGTGGAAATGCATAAATAAGTATTTCCTCTGAAGATGTGTATTGTTGCCGAAGTTTATAGAGGCGGTTTGTTATAAACAGCTGTCCCATATACTAACAGTGAAATACAAAGTAACGACAAACTAACGTAAAAATAATGTCCATTAGTCATGGGAAGTAATGACATCAGTATTTTGTTACATTCGCAAAATGGTAACGGAGCTCTGTAACGCTATTTCTCTACTTAGTTTAGAAACGGGCACAACACTGTTGCGATGCCACTGATCTTGTATGTTTTGTCACAAATTGAAAGACAACTGATTTTTTTTTTTCTGCAGCGAGGTGATTTTTATGAAGGCGACGGCTTAAAGCTGGTTGTAACCTGTTCTGTTGGATTATGTTGGCGTTTGATATGTCAATATTTACTTCCTATAACAGGACTTATGGTCTTGAACGAGCCAGGTGCACGTTCAAACATACAAAAACAATAAGAGATTCAAGTCTGCGACTAGTAATGCTGACGATCAAGCGGGATTGGTTGCATTTGTAGCGTCGCAAATTTCATAGCGTGTTTCCACCTTTACAGCCGATTTTCAGCGCTTTGGGGCAGACATCCGGAAGGGCTATATAACGGCGCCTTTGGCACTCGGAATTCCAAACGGTATCAAGATATGACGAGTGTATAACAAATCTCGAACCTACAAAAAAGGTTTCTGGAACAAAAGTCCGCTTGAGAACAAAGAACGTGATGCAGTCCTATTTTTTTTTTTTTTTTTCAATAATTGTAAGAAGCTCGTACTCCAAATAATATTTTTACTACCAGCAGGGAGCATCGTAATCGGAAATGTGTGTTCCATAGACACTTGGTCACGTGAACCAAAAATGCATTTGCCGGCCTCTTCACAGCAGTCGGGACACTCTCTTTCGCAGAACTACGCCTGCCAAATCGCGTGGACGGCTGCGGCAGTGGCGGTGGACCTGTTCAGGTTCAGCCTGGCCATGGTCTACGGAATGGCGGCGTGCGCGTACCTCCAAGCAGCCATCCTGGTCGCGCGGAAGCTGTCCCCGCCGCAGCACCTGGCGCCGAGTCGCCGGGCCGAGTCCGGATGGAGCCTGGAGGCCAGGCTCAAGTGTCTGGCTGCACACATAGAGGACACGGCGCTCCTAGCACGCGCTGTGAGCGACGTGTGCATCGATGCGGTCGCCATCTTGACGAGGGCAGCTTTCCCTGGCCTGGTGCTCGAATCGTGCTCCTCTCTGCTCGACAGCCCTGGCATGCTCT